CCATAAATAAAAATGTTCTGATAGTGTACACAACATCACATGTTTATTATAATTTTAATAATGAAAAGAAAATCTGAAATATTTGAAAAAATAATTTCATTAGAAAAAAAAAGCTCGATGTAATATCACCAAATATATATATATATATATATGTCTTTTGTTTGTTTTGTTGTTATTGAGTATAGGTAAAGTATAAGATCGCATACGACTAGTAAGAATAAAAAAGAAAATAATATCATCTTTGACCGGTTGAAAGAATATATATTTGTGCACGGGTTAGTTTTATATGTATGCATTTTGTTTTTTACTGTTTATCCGATGAAGAACCATATTTACGACTAAGTCGAGCTGGTGCTTCAAATGGATTAAGACGACGATTCATATAATCATTATCATTATTATTCATTTGTAATGGACGTTTTGTTCGTTGTAAAATTGAACTTTCATTTAATAAATGTTCTTGACGTCTAATACGTGTTTTTTCTGTTGGTAAATATGATGTATCATAGCGTCCATAACGTTTTTCAATTTCTTCTGTATTCATAGTTGAATATTGATTTTGATTTTGATTTTGATTTTGATTTTGATTTTGATTTTGATTTTGATTATGATTATGATTATGATTATGATTATGATTATGATTATTATTAGTTGATGTTGGTACAATAAAATCATCTTCATATTCAGTTACTGGTGGTGTTGATATTGATTTTGTTGGTATAATATAATCACTTTGTGTTATACGTCCATTTGTTGTTGTTGGTGTTGCTGGTAAATTTCCCATTTGAGGTAATTGAATATTTTCCATAGTTGGTTCAGGTAGAATATATTGATTTTTTTCTTCATCATAACGAGCTTGTTCAATAATTCTATCAATATTACTATAATTACAACTACGTGGTATAATATTACTCATTTTATCAATTATTGTACGATAGAGAAGAAGTCGTTTTTCTTGTTCACGAATTGTATTTAAATATCCTTCACGTTCACGTTGAAATTCATGTTGTAAATCTTCATTATCAGCTTTTAAACGTTGATTTTCAATTTTTTCATTTTCATATCTTTTAGCCGTAAAATGAAGCTAAAAAAAAATATATATGCATTCAAATTTTAATTGTTAAAATCTCTGATGAAATTTTGATAAAATTCCTATCACTAACCTGTTCTTGAGCATTATCAAAAACTCTTAACATTGCATCATCATCATCAGCATTAATTGCTTTACTAAGACGTTTTCGTTGTTCGAGTTTTTCACGCATATCATTTAATTTTTTTTTACGTTTCTTTCTTTTTTCATCATTATTTACTTCTTCACCACCAACAAGTTTATGTTCTAATTCTTGTAAACGTTCAAGTTTTTGTTGTTGATCTATATTATCTATAGGTATTGATGTATTATCTATAGGTATTGATGTATTATCTCCATCAATAATATCTTGATCATTTATTATTTCTTCTCCATTACGTCGTTGTTTAGGAATTCTACCTTTCTTTTTTGTTTTACTAGTTTCACTTTCAACTGGTGATGGTTGTAAATCTAATAATATACAAATAGATTTTTGTTTTATTATCTTATCAAAAAAAAAATTATTTTTTATCTACTTTCATCTTTAATTCGACTAGCATTTAAAGCATCGAGTTCATTATCATATTGTACTCTTAGATCATCATATTTTCGTTGAAGATCTTCTTTATTTACACGTTCTAATTGATATTGTCGACGTATTTCAGATACTTCACGTTCATATTCAGCACGTAATCTTTCTCTTTCTTTTTCAATTTCTTCATCACGATTAACTTGAGGTTCCTAAAATTATATATGTTCATATTAAAAAAACAAAAAATTTGTTACATTGTTTTTATCATAAAAACTTAATAATTAGACATGCATGAGTACCAGTATGACTATGACAAACGTTAATTTGATTACTGATTGAGTTAGAAATAGGAGAAGAAAACAGGACACGACGTTTCTGTTATCCTGTGCCCAGGTCTGACTGGTAATGATAACGGCACCGTTAACAGTTACCAATTAACGGAGTAACGTAACTGTCTGGCAGAGATGTCTATCGGGGGCTGAAAATCTCTCGCCACTAGAGATCTTCGGAGTCAGGTTTTTTTTTATTTCGAAATTTTTTTTTTCTCGAAAGCAGACGATCTCTAATGTATTTTATTGTTTAATTGATAAACAAATAAAGGAATGAAAGAAACATTAAAAAGATTAATTTTGAATTTCTTTTTCATTTGTTGTGCAATGTAAATAAAAAAACAAAACAATAACTAGAAAGTATTCAACATGTATTACGCCCAAGCGATAGAATCGATTTCGGAGTCAACTAAATTTTACGCTAAAAATTTTGTTTTAATAGTTTTTTGATTAATCGTATTATGTTTTTATGAGATTGATCTTTCGAATGTTATAGCCAAAAGGTGATTCATTCTTAATAATAGCAAAAGTTCATTAGAAGTGGTTATAAAATTAGACTCCGACTTCGTCGAAGTTTCCCGAAAGTCTCTAACCGCCACCACGACAGGGCCGCCATGGACATCTGTGCTGTCTGGTAATAGGTACTTCCCATCTGCAGCCACCGAATATATGATTCCTTATATTTTGACTTAATCAGTAATTAAATTAAAGTTTTACTACTGAAAAACTTAATCTTTTACAAAAGTTTGCGAGAAAACTAGTGTTAATGTTGATGAACCAGTATGATACTAGTACATGTCTCATTGATGAATGTATATTAACTTACAATATTCTCTGGTGGTAATAATTGATTTGGACGAGTTATATTTCCTGCATTAAGAAGTTCTTGTTTAAGACGATTTATTTCTTCTTGTAATAATTTCATTTGAGCATCACGTGGATCTTCATTAATACGAGGTTTATTCTTAATATTTTTTGCTCTATTAGCATCTATATATAGAATATTATTATTTAAAGTTAATAAATAAATAATAAAACTTACATCGTAATGTTGAAAGTGTTTCATCATAATTATCATGAGCTGGACTTATACAAGCAACCTTAAAAAAAAGAAAGTATTTAATAATTTATATATTATAAAATATATTTATTGAATTTTACCATTAATGTTTTTGTATTACCACCAAGTGAATCTTGTAAAAGTCGTGTTAATTTTGAATCACGATAAGGAATATGTTTTGAACGTCCATCAACTAATGCTGAAATAACATTACCCAATGCACTAAGTGATAAATTAATTCGAGTTGCTTCACGTAAACGTTCACCTTCAGCATCTATATAAATAAATATATCATATTAATTTTCAAATAGAAAAAAAAAAAACCAAAGAATTTTTCTTTTTACGTGTTTTTGACTGTCGTTCACTACCAGCTAAATCAACTAAATTAAGTTTACCAGCACGAATATGATCTTTTCCATCAGTTTCACTTCTTTTACACATTTCCGTAACAATTGTAAATATTGAATGTGATCGAGAAGAATCTTTATTCATAAGTGTAGCACCTGTTGCACGATTTCGATTTCCTTTTTCCATAAGACGTTCACAATCGTTTACACTTGAACATGGATGCCATGATAAATTTTGTACTTGAACACCTTTATCAAGATGTTCCTTTTATTTATTTATTTTTTTGGTTGAAAAGAATAATTAATAGAAAGAATCATATAAATATTTTTTTGATTTTTACTTTGAGGTCAAGTGCTGTTTTAACATCTTTGGCAAGTAAATCACGAATAGTTTCATTATATATTTCAAGATAAGATGAACGAATAAGATATTTAGTACCACTTGCTATTGATGATGCATCAAATATATGCTAAAAATAATACTTGATATTTAACAAGACAAAATATTCGTACGATTGACAACTATATCAAACCTATTAGTACAATCCCTGTAGGATTAAAATATGAAACGCAATGTAGCTGCTGTTGTTAATTACAGAAGAGATTGTCTTATATTATCTATTTTAGGACACGTGTCTTCATCAGTCTTTTTATTTAATCGCTCAAGAATACAATAAGAAAGAACTTCATGTATTAGAATGAGACGTTATTGATCGTATATTAATAACATTCTGTCACGGTCTGTGGGGGATCCAATTTTTTATTCCTATACTTCAACATTCTTCTTAAATTGTGTTTCACAAAATCTTGTAAAAATTAAAAGTATTTATATAGTTAGAATTAAGATTTACAATTAGACATGCACCAGTCTCAGTCCAATTGAATAACAACAGTCCATCCAAATCAGCGATAGATTTGGAGGGTGGCACTGGAATCGATTTCTAATGGACTTCAAAAACTGTTTGGTGACTATAATTGATTTGTAAAATGCAACAGTTTTTACTATGAAATGTAAAAGAAAACTTCGATTAACAGAATTGAACTACTAATAATTATTTCACTTCTCTCTTTTTTTTTTTATTTGAATAAATTTCAATGAAAATTCTTACGTTAGATAAAAAATCTAAACATCATAAAAGTAACGAACATTTTGTCTTACAACTTATAGAAAAAAAAGGGTCATGGAATTTAAAATTTAGCTTCTATTCTTTATCCTACAAACATTTTCTTCTAATTCATTCTGTAACTTTTAAATGTTTAAGAATTTTGTAAAATTTTATTCTACCTCAAATGATCGAGGTATAACACCACGTTGTAGCGAACCTGGTGTATTTATTCCTTGCATTGTAAAAGATTTTCCACTTCTACAGAAAATACATTTGTTATTTAGTATTAAAAAAAAAAGATTTACCCTGTTTGTCCATAAGCAAATACTGTTGCATTATATCCTTCGAGTACCTAAAAGAAAAAAAAACTTGTTCTTTTTCTTTTTTCTATTATTTATATTTAATTTACATTTTCAACAAGTGGAAAAACTGATTCAGCATAAATATTTTCAGTTATTGAATCTTCTGGATAAACTGCATCGAATGTAAATTGTTTTGGTGGTTCATTACTTTGTTCAACATGTTCTAATAGAACTTGATTTAATTCTGCACTCATTGAAACTATGGTCTAAAAATTGAATAAAAATTCTACTATGAATTTTATCTAGAAGAATTATCTTACTTGACATTTTAAATCAATTTCACGTTGGTTTATCGGTCGACATCGTAAAATAACTCGAACGGTTTCACTTGCAGCCATAAATCGTTATTTCTTAATCGAACAATCAATCTAAAAGCAAGTTATAGAAGAAAAAACAAAACAGATAAGACGAACAACAACCAAAAAAAAAAAAAACGATACTGTAGCACTATGAGACTTGTACTGTTCGCTCACTTAACATTAAGTGTCCTTTTTATAGAAGAAATTCCATTAAATCATATAGAAGAGAAAGAGAAAGATGGAAGGAAGAAAAACCATGACAGTATATGTTGCTATTCGAGATATGTAAAGTAACTTTTACAAGGTAAAAGAGGACGCCATGGTGCAATGACATAAAATTTTAATTGAAATGTTGAATATAAGCAAGATTATTCTTTGTTATAATAATCATATGTTTACCCTCTGTATATTTATTTACGAATATTAAATTATCTCTATTATATATGATAACCTTATCACTTCCGACATAGTGATAAAATAACAAGTGTTTTATGATTAATATACCTCTTAGTAGTTTATGATATTTCTTGTAATATTCGTTGATTTGAATCCAGAGTTGGAACCGGTCCGGCCGGACCGTACCGGAAATTTGCCGGTTGAAATTTAAAAATAAATACCTTTATTTAAGTGTCTTTTTGTAACAAAAAAAAAAAGTATTTTATGAATTTTACTATAAAGAAGATGAAATAAGGGTGTGGGCGTTGATCTTGTCTAAGATGACACCTTTGATGAATTGTAAAGATTACACATCTGTTTCCTACATGCTTGTTGAAAGTTTTAATCATATTTCATCAAGAACTGAAATTCTCTAAAATATATTTTCAAAATAGTTTTTCTTAGCCGAATTTCTTCAGAAGATGATCTTATTCTTTGAAAGTTAATGAGAAAAGACAAAATTTTCAGCTGTCTACATCTATAATATGAAGACCTGTATCAAACAGGTTGAATAGTTCTATTTAACCATTAGCTAATCAAGTTCAAAGCTGGAATTGACGTCATCGATTCTATTTCTAGCATAGTTTGACTATCTGGAATAACTTTCAAGAAATCAGCTTCATCAGTTACCGTGCGATTTGCCGAAAATTCACCGGTTCAAGAGCAACTTTTAATCGGCCAGACCAAACCGGTTTCAACCCCGTTTGAACCTACCAGAGAATTTTATCAGATGTCCTCTTCTGATTTCAATGATCTTTTTTTGTCTATAGATAGTATTGTAATAAAAACCTCAAAAAGGTTTCGAGAATTGACTAAACTATCGAATTTGTTTTTTTAGAGGTATCAGGTTTTCGGAAAACTTGTAGTTTAGATTTTTGATCTGAAACTTTGCGCATATAGAGCATTCAACTAGACTAACTTCTATAAAGAAAAATTCAAAAGGTTTGAACAAAGTTTTTTCAAGATATGAAGCTTTCAAAAAATGCATATCCATGGAAAAAGAGTCTATAGGACTTTATTCAAAATTTCTGAATTTTTTTTTTTTATAGAAGCTAGTCTAGTTGAGTTTTCTATATGCGCAATGTTTCAGATGAAAATTCTAAAATACAAATTTTCCGAAAATCTGAAGCATCTAGAAAAAAACAATAGCTTACGACCTGAAAAGAGTTTGGATCCATAGCTTATTGCTGTAGACATGTTGTTTTTTACTGTATTTTTTGAAAATCAATATCGTGGTTCCTCACAGGAAAACTAAACTTTGAATTTTGATTTCGATGGCAATAAGCTATGGGCTCGAAGCTCTTTTCATGGTATTCACAACTCATTAGGGTCTATATGATAGTCCTAACTTAAAAGTAATTAATCATTTCGAAGACTTCTCTTGTCAATCAAATCTCAACACCTTTTAGAGCTTTTATTAGAACACTGTAGTTATCTATAGACAAAATTCGCTACAAAATAGTATCTTTTTTTTTTAATCAATGTAAATAATATCCATTATCATGCGGGACATTCTTCAAACGAACAAAAAATATTTCTAAAATAACTTTTTGACTTTATGTTTCTGTTTCAATGATATTAAATCGAACATTTCGAAAGAGAATAGCACACAATAATCAGGCCCAAATCAACTTACTTTCTATTATCGAATGGTTCAAAGTTAAATCTTGAATTATTTAATTCGATTTTCTGTAACAATCATAAATATATTTTTATTATTCTTAGGAAGTAGAATATAAGATTTTTGATCTTTGCAAGATGTAAAGAGATTTTTATTACCATTCATGTGCAAATTAAATATATTTACATCCAAAAAAATCAGTTCAGTGTAAACATAACAACTGGTAGCATCAATCAAAATATGCTTGGAACTGAACCGGCTGGTTTTCATCGATTTTTTTGAAGCACTAACGCTAGTCTATTTTTCTAGTTTTTAACGATTTTCATGATCAAGAGATATGAATCTGAAAGTTTTCAAAATCTCAGCTCTAAATATTGAGATAACACTTTTTTATTATACAATGAGAGTCTAGGATCACGCTGAATAAATTTTGATCGACTCACGTAAAATTTCAATAACTGATAGTTTTCAATTCATATTTTCATCACAAAATATCAGAAAAGATTCTATTCTATTGTCAATATCTTGTCAACTACTAGCATTATGTAATTATAAAAAGATTTAGATATTAAGCAAACCTTAAAACAGGAAGTGTAATATAAAATCGTACTATATTTCTATCGGCAATAATTTCGTTTTACGAATTAAGATATCTGTCAACTGTGTGAAATAATTATATCAAATAAGAATAGATCAGATGTCCCAATTGTAAAGCAATCATGTCATTATTGAAACAGTCAGCCAAAGTATTAGTTGCTGTGAGTTACTAGATGGAACATTTTAATCCAAGGATTACATGAGTTTTATATTGTGTAGTTTCGTAGAATTGAAGTAATTGACTATTTTTCGAAAAAATTGATTGATTAATTGATATATTAAGCGCACCGGTTAAGTAAACTATTTCAACCGGCCGGTCGAAAAAAATTCGACTAGTTCCAAGTATAAATCAAAAAGAAATTGAATACAAGAAAACTGTTTAATGTCCATTTCAGAGTTAAATGATCATGAGTATTTGTTGAATAGCTTTAAAACAACAGAGATGTATACAAGATTTTTCAATAGGTGGGGATTAAATTTTTTTCATGTCCATGAAGAAATAAAAATAGAAAATAAATGGTAAGTAAAGACATGTTAATTAAATTCGTTGGTGAAACTTAATCTATGTTTTAATTTTGCAAATTTGTCCATAACATTTTTGATATTTGTGTTATCAATTTGTAAATCATCTTTATAATGTTTGAACAGTATTGGAACATTGAAAATTTAAGTATTGACAATATATGACGGGATTAATTTTGACATAGTCATAGAAATTATTTTTTAATATTCAGTAAATCTTCTCTTCCAAATTCTTCAATTGTCATGTTGATGAATGTTTTGTATATGTGGCAGGCGAGTTTGAAATCTAGCTGAGATTAGAATAGCATTTTTGTAATTTTCTAGTAAGAAATAACGTTAACGTATAAAAGTAGAAACATTGTTTATACAGTATTTTTTTTTTGTTCTTCTGCAATGAGTATAAATTTTCGTTATAATCGTTTTCTGATAATAGGGATATGGGTTTAATGATAAACTGGATTGAGTAGCTTACCACCACCTTCGGTAATGCTGTTTATTTACTTAGGGCATATCAAAAATGTTAGTCACAGCGTTTAAAGGATCTTTTCGGATAAGGAGACCAATTCAGAAATTAAACGTTTATATAAGAGAGAGAGAGATGAACACAGGAAAGAACAATAGAGAGGAAAACAAAGAGGAAAGGAAAATAATATCAATATCGACACAAGGAGGACTAGAGTCTATCGGGTCCAAAAATTTTTGGATCCGATGGGCTCTAATGGGGACATTGAATGATTCGGGAATTTTCAATAATTAATAAATAGAATTTTTTCAAGTCATTAATAAAAAACGACTTCCATTCAGGATTCTCCGATAAATAATTAAATATTAAAAAACTGGAATTTCATATAGATACTTTATTTTTTTTTAAAAACAATTGAATCGAACGTGCAACAAGCAGAGGCGAAGTGACGGAGAATTGTACAAGTAAAGATGCCTTATATCATATGCAGGCTTGCCACCTCTTCCGGTTTTTGCAGAAAAGTTCCGCTTTTTTGTATGAAAAACTTAAAATTTGTCCTTTATTCAAAAATTTGTGGTAATAAAATTCATTACGATTCTGTTCACAATGTTAGCTGTAGTGATCTGCATCGAAATCAATTTCGAAGTCAATTAAGTATCTTGCTAATGATTCATTTTGAACATCAGAATCTTTGTACTTTTGTAGGCTTTGCTTTTTGATTGATTTTCTACAGGCTGATGTATCTTGAAGGTTCAATCAACATCACATTGAGGTCTACGGACACAAAGAGAAAGCCAGAATAAACTTTGATTCCGAGTTTTTCGACTTCGATTTCCTCTTTGGGTCGATTGTCTTCAATGTGACGTTGATTGGACCTCCAAGCTACATCCGATTGTAAGAAATCGGCCAAACAACAAAGCCTACAACGCATAAAGATTCTAATGTTCAAATGAATTATTGGCAAGAAATTTATTTGACTTCGAAATTAACTCCAATGCAGGTCTCTAGTTAGCTGTCATTTACAGTCTATTATTTTCTATATGATGCATTCTGTGTTCTATTTCGAAAAGCAGTGCTACTACCGTAATTGTTTTTTTCGGAACCGATACATATATCCGATTATTACGGCAATTGAATGTCAGTCGATTCAATCGTTGCAGAAAGACAGATTCATTGAAATACTTCATTGTCACACGAACATGCATATAGTTCCATGGCTTCAAAAGGAGTTTCTAAGTGAAACCCATTGGATCAGCACACGTAGCTGATTTGAAAAAAGAATCATGTGCTTCATAAAATATCCATCTTCGTTATGTATTTCTCATTGTGTTTTGGAACTTTCAGAATGAAGAAGTATCACAGAAAGAAGCAAACAGTTATTGAAACCCATAACAATGTTAA